TCTATCCGCGCAAGTGAAATTGAGCTCTAGAGAGTGAGTCTACAGATCGTGATCAGCCACAGCAAAGGAAGTAGAGATTCAAGCCACAGTAGAAGTTATTTTTGTCTTGATTTGTCCTCTTCTTAATCATGGAAGTATTATGTATGTTTTCATCTTAAATTAATTTTAGTCTCTCCCATCAGGAACAGTTTCTGATTTTAGGAAGGCTTTCACGGGAGTATTAAGATGGAGATTTTGCTCGCTGAATGACACATGAATAGGATAACGATTTCAGAGCTGCATGTCCTATTTTAGCAATTTTAACTATCAGGAGAAGATGGGCTGACCTACTTTCAAGTAACAAAAATAGCCAGGGATCTTTAAACAAAATCAATCTCATTGAGTTGAACAGAAATGGAGAAATATAATTGTTCCATTTGCAGGTTATGCACTGCTCACAGTGTAACCTGGGGACGTGCACATAGAGGCTCTGGAAGCATTAAAACAGAGCAGCCCGACTGCGTATACTGCCAGCAGAGATCGGGGATCATTGAAAATCTCAACAGATTGCTTTTCATAGGATTAGTGAATCACCAAGGTTGGAAAAGACCTCTTAGATCATCCAGTCCAACCATCCACCTATCACCAATAGTTCCCACTAAACCACGTCCTTCAGTACAACGTCTAGACGTTTCTTGAACCCCTCCAGGCCTTAGCAGTCACATTCCCCACCCCATCCAATTAAGGATGGAGATTCTCCTTAGCCCTCCTCTTACTGTTAATACATTTACGAAAAAGGTTTTTGTTCTCTTTGACTGCAGAAGCCAAGCTGAGTTCAAGCTGGGCTTTCGCCTTTCCGATTTTCTCCCTGCACGTCCTAACAACTTGTCTGTACTCTCCTCTAGTCGCCCATCCCTTCTTCCACTGCAGCTAGATTCTCTTTTTCTCCTGGAGCGTCAGGATAAGGTCCCCGTTCATCCGTGCAAGGCTTCTTCCCCGTCAACTCATCTTTTGGCACAGGGGAAACATAGATGTTTTTTCACACATTATTTAAATTGTAGGCCGAGGAACTGCAGTGAGGATTTTGATAAAGGTCACTCTGTGGACACGAGGATACAAACTCGCCACTGAAGATGCAGGCTGACAAATGAGACAAGAAAAGTGGATCGGGAAAGATCAGAGGCTGAAAAGATTCTTGGTCGACTGCATCTTTGAAGAGATGGAACTGAGTAATTATGAGCTCGATTTGGTGCAGAGCAATGCGTAAAGAACTTCCGAGGTCCCTTTCAGACCTGAATAAAGGGATGATCTGTCTGAAGATAAACCGTCCGCAAGTTTCCAGAAGTAACAGCAACTAAATCCGAAGTTTGAAATCTTTTAGGACGGTTTACAAAACAGAAAGCGCACAGTTGTCAGGAGAGATACGTTTCTAATTCTGAACTTACTTTGTTTTCATCCCCAGGAAACCTGTTTTCTTTCTGCAAAGAAAGAATAGCCTGAGTTTAAATCGCTGCCAGCCTGCAGACGTTTGGTCCCTGCTTTATTCAAAACCCTTCTGAGTGTCTTGATAGTCATAATCGTTGTTAGAACTCCACAATTCGACTTAATCTACCTAGTTTATTTTGTTCCTTTTGCTATTATCCTAAGGATATTACCCACGTTACACTCAAACTCCATTTCCTGCACAAAGTCTCATAGGCCACTAAGATACAGTTAGCTGTTTTAAAGCTCAGCTGAGACTGTCAAAGCCTTAATTTATGCAGCATGATAACTTCACTAGATGGCAGTGGAGAGAAATAGTGGTTCATATAATTTCCTTGTTCTTTTTAATTTATTTATTATTATTTTGTTTATTTATTTATTTATTTATTTTTGTTTTTTTAATGGGCCAGGGAAACACCCCTGTAGGGACTGCAGTTTATGAGCGTCATCCGTGTTAGGTCCAGATCACGGGACCACGCAAGAGTGTAGGGGCTTCTGCCCTCCAGTTCAGTCTGGATGCAAACTTTTGCAGGAGCACCGTCACATACTCTTCTGACCCTAACACGGAGGTGCAGAGAGCAATGCTTATCTTTGAACTTTGGTGTTGCAACCACTCTTTCCTTACCTTCTTATCTTCAAGGAAGAACTTCTTTAACTTGAGAGTGACGGGGCACTGAAACAGAGGTGCTGAGGTTATGGAGTCTCCTACTCCGGGTATATTCAAGACCCATCTGGCCACCTACCTGTGCGGTTGGCTGTAGGGAACCTGCTTTTGCAGGGACTCAGACACCGTGATTTTCAGAGGTCCCTTCCAGCCCCTACGAATTTGTGATCGTGTGTGAATCTACACTTGAAAAAACATCACGTTTTCATTGGTGGAGTGACTAAAACAAAACCAGGGGAAGAATCGATGCCGTTGTGCACCGACCACTCCCAGGACCGGGAGAAGGGCAAGAGACAAAACTCAAGGACCAAATACTTCAGGAACAAAGTTCTGTAGCTTCTAAGTTTCAAAACCCGTAAAAATTGGACCGGTCTTTTGAATATGGAGAATTGAACGGAGTGGATGATTTCCCCCAAAATCACGACATCCGTCTGTCAGTGAAATTCTCCAAGAAGTTCCTCTTGGCATTCATTCTGTGAGATTTCCCTGACTTTTCCTTTTTTGTAGCCTTTGGAAAGCAGAAATACATGCACATACCAAGCCCTGGGGTTTAGTTAGTGACACAGCAGGTTGGAATCTCTGCTCTGCAACGAGCGCGTCAGTTTAGTCAGATATACATAAATAATAGATACGTCAGTCGTAGCGCACCACTCGTTGCATAAACCAGTCTGTTGAAAATAAATCACTGCTCTCGAGCATCAAGATGTGGATGAAAATAAGTAGTGGGTTACACAGATTCATAGAAAAATACACTTCAGATTAGCTTGTTGGGTTTCCCAAAGTGGATGTATTTTTTGTAGACGGTTAGAATTCAGTGTCTGTGGAACTAAGTACACTCAGCAGTAACGGAAAACAGAAGACAACGTGACAAAACAGATGATGCAACGTATCCTCACTCCAGCCGCAGTCACGGGGAAGCTATTATATTGTCTCATCGCTATTAGCGTCGTGCTATATTTCCCAAGCTAACTGCAATACACGGTGAAATGGTTTGGTACTGTGATCCTATAGGTCTTTTCCAACTGTAACGATTCTATGGTGCTATGAAGCTGTCCTGGTTGTCAGTGTTTTTGACCCATACTCAGGCACAGCCACTCCCTCTTAATGGTTATCCCACGCTACACAGTTTGCATGAGATGGACAGCACCACCCCAAATCCTTCACCCTCCCTTTGCCTGCAGCTTCATCCTGCACCCTTCACTCTTTATCGTCGATCCTTCATCTCACCCCTGCCACTGCATCCCACATAGCGATGTGATATCTACGGCCATCTGGGCTTGCAGTGGGACATCAGCGGGGACATTACTGTATGGGTGAGTTAAGTCCCAAGGCCTTGGGGTAGCTGTCAAACGCTACGGCTTGCCTTAACGAAGCTAGGCTGTGCTAACAAAGCAATGATCTCCACATGATGCGATGCAGCTGGGGCTGCCCGGGCACAGCTGCGCTTTGTTTGGAGCTCAGGGCAGGGCCAGCCCCCAAAGCCTTTTAAACCCACCGGAGGCTGCTGGGAGCTATTGAGGGCTGCTGGGAGTTTGAACTGCTTCTGGGGCTCGGTCCTTGCAGTAGGAGGCTGCTGGGTTTGTGGTCATGATTTTTGGGGGGCTAGGGCTCGGTCCTTGCAGTAGGAGGCTGCTGGGTTTGTGGTCATGATTTTTGGGGGGCTAG